GATTTTGTGCATAGTAAATGAAGGAATTTTATAAAAAAAATTGTGTGTAATAACAATTAGTTTTATTGATTTGAAAAAACAATTTTTAGGAGGCCACGTGGTTACTACTAATGAAAGTCAGGTCTCAACTAATACAGCAAACAAAACTAGTACTGGTTTGGAAACATCCTTGCTTCCTCTAACTTCGGACTTTCGTACCTCACTCATCCTTCCCACTTTGACAAAGCGGTTTAGTGTATTACGTAGAGGAGAAAATGCAAATAATAATAATGGAACATCAACGAAAACAAGTTCTAACACACAAGGTTCCCCTCCAGAGATTTATAAATCACAAGCTCCTCAACGTTCACTACTTAGTGAAAACACCACCACTACGAATGAAGTATCAAAGATAGAATCAGGTAATAGAGAAATTGGGATATATCTGCATAAATTATATGTCTACTTAATTTCGTCTAATGATTTTTTTCTGACATAGGTAATGAAAATCATGAATTATTATCAAATAATTCTTCATCTGTTACCCTGACGATAAAAGATAAGAACGACAATAGTAATAATCAAGAAGTTATGACAAATGCTAGAAAATTTTATGATCCTCCCTCTAGAATTCATGATGATGATGAAAACGAAATCATTAATACAGATATAGTTGATGTAAAGAATTTGAGAAGAATATCTTCAAATGGGTTATTAATAAATCCAACAAAGGATCGACCAAAGTTACCAAGAATACGACCACCGTCAATATCTCAAATACAACAATGGCAAAATGAATTTACCACAATTTCTAACGCTTCGTCATTATCATTACCAAATTTTGTACAATCAACGCAACAAATTTCACCTACAAAAAATTCACCAACCAGATTATCACCAAGAGAAACTAATTCTTATGATAATAATGATGAAATATTTCTTCAACAACCACGTTCCCCGTTAGATAAATTATCAGAAGGATTATATAATCTTACAATTCAATCATCACCAAATATCTCTCCCACTTCACCATCACTTAGTACAAACAACTTATCACAAACATCTCTACGTTCATTGGAAATATCACCATTTAATGAACGAGAGGAAATTAAATCATCAATTCATAAATCACCTAGTATCAATTCATTAAGAAATTTTGAAAATGAAAAAATTTATAATTCTGATAGAGAGTCAACCACATCAACGATAGGGTCTTCATTGAAAAGAATTAGAATTGTCAATAGTAATAACAGTAATAATAGTAGCAATAGTAATATTAATAATTTGAATGACAGTAGTGACAATAACAATACTAATAGTAGTAGCAATAGCAGCAATAATGATAGTATTGATAACGAAGGAGATGATGAAGCAGAAAATGAAAATAATAATACAGAGGTTTTAGTTGACGTTCGACAACCGGGTATAAGAGAATCAACCACTTCGAGTATGACTAATACAACTAATACGACTATTCTTTCTAATACAACCAATACGACCAATATTTCTAGCACAAGCACTTCAAATATTACTACGGAATCACAGGTGAAAGATCCATTTCGTGGAAAAGTTACACCACCACCAAAACCGCATCCACCTCCATTGTCTCTTACTGATACATTAATAGCTTCTGGTCAATCAGATATTGCTCATCAGGTAATGGTCATGAGAAGAGTTCAGAATATGAATCAATCACAACAAACACAACCACAAACCATCAGCAACAGCAGCAACGATAATAACAGCAACAGCAACAGCAACAACAACAATAATAATAATAATAAACAAAATCCATTAAGGAAATGGACTAAAAAGAATGCAGGAATAAAAAATATATCAGGACCACAATTAGTTTCTACATCGTCTAACGTTAAGACAATACCAATAGTACAATTGGGTCAAATAGATGATGGAAATAAAGTTCGTAGAAAATTCTCGTTGCGTGAAAGTGAAACTGGTATTGGTAAATCATTGAGAAGGATAAAAGATGTATTTATTAGTGATAATGAATCTTTATTTGGAAAGAAACGTATGTCTCCAAATTCTTCTAATGAAAATTTATCTCGTAAGTTTGCTTCCGATGAGAGTTTAAATCAAAGGTTTACCAACAATGAAAAAAGGGGATTTGATTTTGTAAAAAGACGTGCATTTAGTACACGTGAGAACAATAAACCTAATGATAAATTAAAACAAGATATAAAGAATGATTTCACTTTCATTATAGATTATGAACAAAATAAACAATCCAATGGAGATGATAATATTAATATAGAGAATACAAATATTTCGAGTGATAGATTAAGTACCCCTGTTAATGATCATAATAAATGGACTGGACAACCACCATTATATGATATTGATGCATTGAAAAGGCATGCTGAAAAGATAACTAGATATAGTAACAATAAAAAAGTTGATTATCCAATAATATCTTCTCGTCCTTCTTCACAATCCGATCATTCAGGTTCCGGTTCTCTGAGAAATTCTTCTTCTTCACTTTCACTTATTGTAGATCTTCCAAATGGATCAGAAAGTGTTCCGAGTAGTCCGATATCTACATATAGTCCGATTAGTACAATGTCTCCATTAAGTGATATTCCATCTGGTAGAAGTACTCCTCCTCAAATATCTCCAAGAAATCCATTACGACAATCTGATAAAAATCGTGTTAAATATTCTTTTGGAAGTCAAAATAGTACGTCTGACGTTGGTAGTGATGATAAGAGAGATTCGAAAGATAGTAGAGCTTCTTCCTCTTCACGTTTTATGTCTATATTTAATAATTATGGTAGTAATCGTAGTAGCAAAAATAGTAGTAAAAGTAGTAGTATCATTAGTAAAAGCAGTTTAACAAACAATATTAATAACAATAATGATGGTGATCATGATGTATCTGATAGTAGATTAAAGAATAAAGTAATTCGTCGTACTATTATCATCACTAAACCATATCTTCCTCTTTTACCTGAAGATCCTTCTTCTACTTCGACTTCTCCATCGTTTCCAATTCCAAAATCTAGTTTGAAAAAGAAAAAAGTTGATGTTGAAGATGGGAAAATTTATGTCGCTTCCGATGGTCGTCAATGGTTTCTTTCAAAAAATACATCAAATGATGATGAAAAAGAAAAGGAAGAAATAGAAATTAAAAATGAGAATGTTGATGATTCAAAACTATTAAGCGTTTCTATTTCAAGAACATCATTAAGTGACCGACCTCCAACTCCTATACCTTCTCCTAATACAAGAGAAAGTGCCATAGATTTACCTTATGGTATTCCGATACCACCAATACCATCTCCGTATAGAAATAGTGTAATTTCAAAAGGTTCAAAGCGTACAAGTAAATCTAGTATAGCTTCTTCATTAAAATCATCTTCAAGTAAATTTAATAGAAAATCTATAGGTAGTAAAAGCATTTATAGTAGTTACGGCGAAAGTCTATATGATTATTATTATTATAGTGATCAAGAAGGAGCCGATGATGAGAACGATAATAGTTCTAATAATCTTAATACGAAAAGAAAACAATTGGAAAGTCAACATGTTGAAGTATTAGAAATGTCAGATGGTTCATACGTATGGCAAGTTGTAAATGGTTTACGTGGCGATGATATGGAAGACCGTTATAGTTATTATTATGGTGGTGCAAATACGGATAATGATGATGATTATCTTACTAATTCTCAAATTTGGCCACAAGACTTTGGTAGATTGAATTATGGTGACCTTGAAGATGATCAAGTTTCTCAATTATCTTTTAATGATGATAATAATGAATCAATATATGGTCATTTAGATTATTATACCGCTGATTACCCAAGTCCTTTACATCTTCCTGGCGTTGAACCTCTATCTAAACAGAATCAATATTTAACTCCTGATAGAATACCTTCTTCACGTAGTAGAAGCCCAGATAGGTTAATCAATGAAGAGTATTCTTATTCTAATGCTTCATCAATTTCTTCTAAAGATGAGAAATTTATACCAAGAACGAGTGTATATTTTGCTAAAGATGTTCCATTGCCAAAGTTATTAGAAGAAATGACCAGAGGTTTAGAAAGTGTCGATTTGGATAGAGAAGAAAACCATTATGTGTATGGTGGTGAAATAAATGCTGGTGGTACCGGTGTTGTTGGTGGAATGACTGTTGAAGAAAAATTGGAACGAGTTATGAGAGCTCTGGGTGTTGATGACAGAGATGTTTATGTTGACGAGTAATTGATTTATTCATTTATTTTCACTTATATAATTTATAATTTTGTTTGAAAAAAAGTTACTATTATTTAGACTATTTCTTTTTTTATTTTTAAAAAAAAACTTTAAAACAACTTCTTTTAGTTGTTGGTTGTAATATATTCTTCGTATCTGATTGGAGTTATTTTAAGCGATTTTAAACTAGATTTTTTTTTTAAAAAAAAAAAAGGAAAAAAAAAAAAAAATTACAAAAAAAAAAAACTTTATATTTTTTCGTTTTTAATTTATAGATTATATTATTATTTTGCATGTTAAATATTTTGCATTTTTATATTTTTATTTATTTATTTTTTTTTGTTATATATAAATTAATGAGAATCAACAATTATTAATTTTTATTTAACATGAGCAGTTATTTTCAAAAAGAGCTGGCTTCTTAAAATATTTTATATTAGCATTCCTTTTTTTTCAACTTTGTATTATTTGTGTATAGGTTATTTTTATTTTTATGATTATGTATTATTATTATTATTAATCATTGGCTTTAAAACTTTTAATAAAAAAAAATTCACTTTTATATATTTTTTTTTTTAGCTATTTAAAAAATTAATTTATTGATAATTATAAATATGATTTTTCACTTCTACATACAAAACATAAAAATACAAAAATAATAAAAGATTTTTCCTCAAATATTATAACAATCGCGAATAATCACATTATTTTAAAGCTTAATTACTTTCTAATCCAATAATGATTTTTGTGGTGGTTGTATATTTTGCTGTTGGGTTGGAGGGCGATCTTGTTGTTGAAAAGGATAACCAGGTTGAACAGGTGCGGGTCGATAGTTTGAATGTTGCATAGATTGATGATGATAACCCTCGTTACCTTGTTGGACAACTTGAATTGGAGGCTGATAATAAGTTGTTGGCTGAGGAGGAAAATTGTTATATCCTTGAGATTGAGGTTGAGTTCCGGAATATTGTAGTGGTGGTGGTGGTGGTGGTCGTTGCTGATATAGGCTTCCGGATGATTGGCCAGTATAATGTGATTGTGAGGGTTGATTTATTGGTACCCGATTATATCCTGCACTAGCATGATTTTCATATGATGATTGACGAAATTGATGATGAGGCGGTGGTAATGGTGTAGTAAGTGGTGGTTGAGAGTTTTGGAAATTTGTTGAATAAGGAGGCTGCTGCACCGGAGGCGATGGTGTACTTGATAAACCATGCTGTTGAATTTGTTGTTGACCTTGAGAAGGTTGAGGTGGTATTGATAATTGTGTATATTGACCATTAAAAGAATGATTTTGATGCAATATTGGTGATTGTTGTGGTAGCGTTTGTTGTGATTGAGAGACCGCTAGTAATGCGGGTTGGTATGAACGTTGAATATTTGATGGTGATGTGTTATGAACAATATTCTGTTGTTGATATCCAGTAGGTAAAGGAGGTAAAGGTGGACCTTGTAATTTTGGAGAGGAAGGTGTGTTATATATCGACGGTTGTGCGGAAAAGGAAGTAGGTCCTTGCGAAAAATAATTATTAGAAGAACCTAAAGTTAAAGTAGATGGTGCCGATGGTTTCGGAGGAGCTATAGGAACATAAGGAGGTGCTGAAGGATTAGTATTAGAATCTTTTCGAACAGATGAAGTGTAAGAATGTGACGTATTATTGTAGAAATTTGTAACATTAGATTGAGTCTGTGGTATTGTTGAAGTACTCGAATCCCTATTGATATCAATCGGTATGATATTGCTATTAAGTGATAATTTATTCGTATCTTCTGCAAGTTGATTTAAAGATTCATAATGGTTTATCGCTTGGTTAGAAGAGGGAATACTTGAAGATATTAATTTGTTTTTGACTATTTGTTGTTCTTGAAGAGAATGTACCAATTCATTACGTTCTTGTTGGCGAGATTTGGCAGATTTATGTAAGGTCTTGGAAAGATTTTCAATAACTTCAGTCAAATCGGAATAAAACTGAATCCCTTTCCTGTAAATTTATATTATTTATTTTATTAATAGAAATAACTTATAAATATTAAGTCTAAAGGTTAACATTACCTCAAACCTTCTTTAACCTCGAGATAATTATCTTTTGCTTTTTTAAATCGATCGCACACTTCCTTTCTTTTCCGTTCAGCAAGGTCCCACCGTGATTGCAAAGTCATTGATTCATCACTTTCCATTAAGCTTTTGTAATGAGTTGTGAGTTCTTGCAATAAAGCTTGCTGATGATGAATGCTAGCAGTTATACGGTTTCGATATGGAGAGAATTTTTCAAGCTCAGTGGCAAAAAGCTGTGGTTCAATATTTTGTACCTTTTTATTAAGGATTAGAATATTGGATATATCATCTTTGTGCGTCTAAACAAAATATAAAATTAAATAAAAATTATAATGTATAAAAATTAAAATATTACATATAATAATCTTAACCTTTTCTTTCAAATCATTTAATGTATCCATTCGTTCTTTCCTAATTTTATTTAAATTTTCTAAACATGCTTCAACCTTATGTACTTTAACATTAGTATTTTCTTCAGATTTTGATGTATCTACGTCTAATAAACTTTCTGCGTTGCTTATTCTCCTACCACCCACAAACGTATCAGTATTAGTATTTATAGAGGATAATGTTTCTGCAAATATTTTTTCTAAATCATCTCCATTTTCGCCCATCCGTAAAATCATAATATCATTTAGAGATTGATCATATTTTTGAAACAAATGTTGGTCCGAATTTGCAGCTTTTTCAAGTGTACCTTTATGGCTATTCAAATCTTGATGAAAAACTGCAGTGAGTGTGTTTGAAGGTTGTGTCCATAAAATACCATATTTTACCTAAAATTATTAAACATATTTTTATTTGAATCATGAGACTTAATTTAATTATTTATATATAATATGTATAATTGCTTTACCTTCATTCCATCATAACCTCGTTGTTCATTATCTAATATTATGAAGGATTCATCTAAAATTTCTTTAGCTCTGCCTTTTAAGCCATTTAAAGTCATCAATAGCTCTTTAATTGTACCCTTTTGTTCTTCCTCCGTTTTTATTAATTGAGACCACTGTATAACTTCAAGAGTGGGTGATGCAAATTCATTCAAATATGTAGATTCATTATTCGTCTTAAACTTTACAAGCGCTCCTGGTAATTTCATATATTCTAAAGCAGCTTCTAATTCACTATTAGAAACATCACATCTCTCAGTTTCACCACGAACCATTTTAGCTTTTTCTTCTGAATATAAAGATGCAGATTCATGAACTGATAATGGAATAAGACGTTGAAAAATATCTTGACCGATTACTTTTTGCATCTCATTAACACCATATAATTCTTGTATTGGCATTGGCTTAACTGCATTTAACTTATCTATTGGTGAAATAACACTTTCCTGTGGAACAACTTCGTGATATATAATATCATTATCCTTCGTAGCCGAATTTTTTTTCTCCGTGATAAGTGCAAGATTTGACTTTGTGAGTTCTTGTAACGAGATTGCAGTATCAGGAGGAAGAGTTGGAGTCACAGTTGGTGAGAAGGCCGATACAAAATTGTTGGAAAGTTTATTTGCTTCCTTAGCCAAAGATTCTGCAATATTTAGGCGACTAACACATTCTCCATATTTGCTTTCTTTTTCACAAGCCAGAGATTTTTGATATTGAGCGATAGACGTAAGATATTTATATTTTACCTAAAATAAATTAAAATAATGTGTTAAATCATAATTTTGATGCAAAATGTTCACATACTTATGCTGTACCTGACAAACTGTTAGCCAACTCCTGTCAAATACGCTTCGACTTATAAGATCACCCATATTTTCGACAATGTTTCCATAGGACCATCCAGCTTGAGCAGCTAATTTAGCTACTAAAGCAGGTTTATTTTTATTCCCTAAACTCTGTTCTAAGAAACACTCTTGAGATTGTGTAAGCATTAGTTGTGTAAGCAGTTTCACAGTATCACGACTCAAATCGGTTGAAGGAGCATGCAAAAAGTTATCATTTATATATGTGTATCTCTCAGCAGATGCTTGAAAAAAATGGAAAGCACGTTTTAGACCTTCAGGTTCAGATCGATTTTGAGAAGCAGCAATTGCCGATAGGACAGAGGCAATATTGAAAATTACGCTCGCTTTTTCATATGCAAGTGAAAACTGAGAAGTGGCTTTATGTGTAAAGGCATCATACCTGAAAAAAAAATATTTATGATAATTAATATAAAAAAAAATGTGTCGTAAAATTTTAATAATAAAAGGATTTACTTAATACCAAGTAAAGGAGACTCTAATATGGTTCTCATCGACAGGAAACCTTAAATCAAGTAACTCTAACTGGCTATAATATCGATACAATAAATCTCTTCCAGTCACGTCTTTACCAGCACCTCTCATATCCTGTCTTAGACGATGAATTGCATTTGCTTCGTCCGCATATTTTTCTGGATCCTCTTGATATGTTGTTTGAATATATCTTTTAAGGGGGGTTGCCCAGTCAACCTCGTCTGTTCTTTTTGCTGGCACAAAAATTGTTGGACTTTGGTTCATTTTGATAAAAATTTTTTTTTTCGGTCTATAAAAAAATATACAATATACCAAAGCTTTTATACAAATAGTCAATTGTTGGTGATACTAGTATCACCCAGGAAAATGGTCACGAAATTATTACGTAATAGTATATTTTATCACTTATTTTCTTTGATACATTTTTAAATTATACAATGATTTGTCAGACAACCATACTAAAGAGATCAAGAATTATATTGCACAAAATAGTGATAATTCTTTTACAATATCATAAAATCTCTTGAACTAAATGGATATGAATATATAACTACCACAAATTTATTTTTTGTGGAATAAATTGTCATAAGAGAAATTTGTCTAGTTTGAAATTATTAGTATAAATATAACTATAAAACTATCTATATATTTGAAAAAGAAAAAGATGAAATTAATGCATAAATAATGGCTGTTAATCCTATATGAACAGAAGAAGGTTAAGGAGAATTAAATGAAGATTGAAAGGATTATTTAAGCCAAATTTATAAATTATTGTGAGAATTATAAAGAAAGGATCTATCAGTATAGAATGTTAAATTTGATTCATATAAAGAAAATTGATAATACAAAATAAATTGTCAAATTTTATATGAGGTTTGATATATAATTTTAATAGAAGAAGATATATAGAGTAATCAAAAGTATTTGTTGTATTTAATGATATATAATGAAGTTTAGCTTATTTGTTAATAAGCATATTAAATAAATAATATTATAAATGCTGGATGATTAGATATTATTTTGATACTTTAATTTTTCTTTCTAAAATAGTTAATAATATTAGTATAAATAGGAGCAAAAGATATAAAGTTAGAAAAAAATAGGGAAGTAATATTCTTTATAAAGTAGATATTTTTGATATTGAATTATATTATAGTAAAATGATTAAAACAGTAATAATCTGTTTTTATATTATTTATTAGATATTATTATTATTAATTCACTTAAGTGATTTATTATTTAATTTGATTAGAGGAAAAGTGATATTATAATTAAAGATGATATTGTAATTAAAAAGTTACAACTTAATAAGTTGCAACTTGATTTAAAGTTGATCTAATAACTAATAAATTCAATAGATGTTGATTTATTAAATAAGTCTATTAGATTTATAAGAGATATTAAATCTATTAAGATCGTTAATTTAATTGACTAATTTATTGTCTGGAGCGAAGCGGAGGACTATATATGTTTGTGAATGTTAAGTGTAATTATGTCACGTGGTGAAATCCGTTTGTCTGCATGCATCACGTCACTGAAATTTTGTGCTACACTGATAAACAAATCTGTGATAAACATAAGATAACATGAAAGTGTTACAGTATATGATATGATATAATTATTGTTAATGTTCAAATCACGTGATACCAATACTTTATTAATATATTTTTTTTACATATTTATTGTGTTAAATTCACTATTCTATCTATTGTGTTACATTTAATCAAGTTCGAAACTCTAATCTATAAAAATACTTCGCTCTGGACTCACAACGGTTTCCGTTTCCTAGTTATATATAATTTAAAGCTTATATACAAAAACTAAAAATATAATTTTATTTTAATTTTTAAATCTTAAAACATATTTAATAAAAATTTGAGATTGATTATTAATACTAATTTTATATAATTTACTAATTTTACTTTTATATCAAATTTTTATTAAATTAAATTTAAAATTTATTAAAAAATCGATTTATAAAATCATATCGCTATATAAAAAATTGGTTATATATAGTATAATGTTATTTTATAGATTAATTTTTATTGATTCATTAATTTAATTTTAATAAATTTTAGTTTATTGAAATTACTATACTGAAAAAAATCAGAAACTTGTATTAGTTTTTTAGTAACTAATTTGCTCAAAGAATTTTCTTTGCTTAAATAAATATAAAATTTAAAGTATTATATATAATAATACCTGACTGATAATTAAACGAATTGAAACATTTAATTAGTTGAGTAATAATAAAATTTAGTTCAAAACTTTAATTATTAAAGAAATCTATTGCACTTAATATTTTAATCTCATAACTATTTTTTAAGTTAAAGAAGTATAAGGGCTTTTCTAATATTACTAATCTTGAAATATTAATAAGATGTTATGAAAATAATAATAAATGTGTTACAAAATTACTTAACAAGTATATCAAGACTACTAATAATATTATAACTAAAATGATTAACAAAGATATTATAAAGGTAATTAGTAAGTGTATCATAAGATTATTAGCAAGAGTATCATTAAGACAAATAATAAAAGTATAATAAAAATGATTAATAAATATATTACAAGAATAATAATTTTGTAATATATCCAGGTAATTATGAAAATAAAAATTAGTTTTAAGAAGTCCTTTTATTACATTTTTTATATATTAATAAAGACTAAAAATAAAATCTTTAGTTATTTATAATAAAATTTTATATTAAGTTGCTAATTTATTGTATAAAATTATATAATAATTTCTTTATTTTAACTTTATAAAAATTCTGTCATTATATTTCTTTCTTTTAAAATTCTTTTTTAAATCTCTAATTTTTAATTTAATCACATATTTTATTATAAGCTAAGTTATTACTATATTCTTCATTTTTTTTAACTTAACTTTGATAAATTTAATTTGATAAATCATCATTATGTCATATAGTTGATAAATTAGCTAAAAATCAGCATATCAATCATCTTTGCTGTACTGTAACCTATAAATTATTTGGGTTATAATATGTTTAATAATATTATAATTAAAGTTATTATTCTAATTTTAATACTTAACTATAATAGTTTTAGTAAATCTAAACTACAAAATTTTAATTTCAAATAGTTGCATTAGTTATAATATAAAAAATATTTAAAAAATAATATAAAATAAATATTATATTACAGCTATTTCATATTTCTAAATTATTAATAATTTTTTAGTTATAAACTATTATATTCAGTTATAATATTTTATAATAATTATATTATAAAATATTTTTAGTTACATTCAATTACATTTAATCTTAATTTATTAATAGTTCAGAAATTATAAAAATAGTTGTAAATAAAAAAAGTAATATAATATAAAAATTTATTTATTAAAATAAATATAAAATTAAAAATTTGCTATTCTATATTAATTCAGAAATAAATTTGAAACATTTATTTCTAAAAGAAATAATTAACTTAATTTTCATTTTGCCTTAATATTATTAGCAAGATATATATTATAACTAGTCAAATAAGAAGCTTCAATCATATGATAATTTAGCAAAATTTCAGCTAATTTAAAACAAATTTTAGCTAAATTTAGCTAGTATTGAATATTAATATATTGATTGATAAATATATTGTAGACTTTTATAGAATTTGATAAGATTTAACTTAATAAATACTTTAAATAAAAATTAAATTTAAAAATAAACATATTTTATATTTTATAAATTATGATGAATTTTATTATCAGATATGATACTTTCTATTAATTGGATTGGTTGCTAAATATTCAATTGGATTTTAGTATATTGAAATTTTATACTTTATAGACATGAATTTACATAAAATATGATACAATAGTATGATCAATCAATCCTAACTTTCTAAATAAAATCTTTATACCAAAAGTTAATATTATAAGTCTGTTTATCATTATTAATACTGAAATTATACCAAAAATTTGCTAGCTTATATTATTGAATATATATAAAATTATACTCAAAAATTTCTTCAAATAAATTGATTATATGTTTGAAAAAATACTGTATTTGATCTGAATAATAATTAACATTGTTAGTATTTATTATATATTTAAATAAGATATAAAAACTTTTAATATATCAGATGATATTGCTAAGCTAAATATTTCAGAATTAATTTGACATTTTTTAAATTGGTTCATCTTAATATGAATAATTATGAAATTATTATTTTCTTTTTTAAATAGCTTCTGAAAGTTGTTTCTTTCATAGGTTTTCATGTAATATACTACTATCTAATTTATGAATCCACCTGATAAGTCTTATAAGCTAGATAATTGCTATAACGCTTATTTTTATTATTTTTATTATTTTTATTATTATTATTATTTCTATTATAATTATTATTATTTTTATTATTATTATATTAACACTTTTAATTATAAATTTAGTTAGTTTATAATGTAACAATTAGTTAGCTATAGCAAATTAATTTTGTATAAATAGAATAGCATTTTACTTAAGTTGTAAATTAACTCTCTTGTAAATTCTTAAACACTTGTGAGTTTCAAGTAATAAATAAAGGAATTAACTTTGAAAAATAATTACTTTTTCCTTCTACATGTCTATTATTAAACTATTATTCTAACTTGTTTTTGAGTTTGTCACTTAGAATAAATAAATTCTACATTTCTTCTAAATCCCTAAACCTTTAAGATAGTAAAGTCAAGTGAAGTAATTTTAAGCTATTCTGAATACCTGTAGAATATGAGATTCCCTAAAATTATAAATCTGATGATAAGAAACTTACTTATCATAGTAAAGTAATTTAGCGAAATACATGTAATAAGAGAATTATTCCTAGTAACAATACACATTTTTAAACCTGCTGAATAATATTACTTATGTGACCAAAGTTGATTTTTATTAACCAAAATATTTAAATTACTCTTTGAGTCACTGTATAGATAAAAAATAAAATAAAAAAATTTCGTAAGATAATACAATTAAGAAAACTTACATAACTTTACAACCATTAATCCAATCATAATAAAAATTTATATTCACATATTTTCGAATCTGTTGAACAACTTTACATATGTGATTAAAGTTGATTTCTTTTGACAAAAATACTTAAATTACTCTTTGAAGTTACTGTACAAATAAAAAATAAAATAAAAAATTTTACGAGATAATATAATTAATTAAAACTTGCATAACTTTACAACTATTAATCCAATTATAATAAACATTTATATTCACATATTTTTGAGCTTGCTGAATAACATTAATTATATAACTAAAGTCAATTTTATTTGACCAAAATGTTTAAATTGCTCTTTGAATTCACTATACGAATAAAAAATAAGAAAATTTTTGTGAGATAATACAATCACAAAAAACATTCATAACTTTACAACTATTAATCCAATTATAATAAAATTTTATATGCACATATTTTCGAACCTGTTAAGCAACTTTACATATGTGATAAAAGTTGATTTTCTTGACTAAAGTATTCAAATAGCTTTTTGAAGTAATTGAACAGATAAAAAAAATTAAAAATAATTTGTTGATTAATATAATTGCAAAAAATGTTTATAATTTAAAATTTAACTTTTAATTATAATAAATTACAATAAAATTAAAGATGTTTTTTTTTTTTAAGGTGCTGCGACTTCGACCGAGTGCCGTTACACTTAAACCTAGCTACTGAAATATACCAAATACACTTAATAGTGACGTGCCAGCTACCTAATCTCAGGTATTTCCCTATAATTTTAAGTTATCCACCATGTCAAACGCATCCCCCTCGATGTTCCTATCTAAGTATGACATCCTAACTGGACAACTCAAATCGCGTATTAGATCTGAATTAGGTACTTAGCATCAAAGGTACTTAGCATCAAAGGTACTATCAAATTTGGATAGAAGAATCATCTCAGTCATAGTGAACGTCATCACTATTTTTACCAACGGTCTAGTGAACTATAGCCAAGCTTCAATTACTTGGTTTAGCTTTATCACTACTATATAGAGAGCCACAGGATTCATGGGATAGTACCACAAGATTTGCCCAAATGATGATCTCTAGTTGTGCATATAGACCACATCAACCAGGTGACTTTGATACCTATAACGTCAAACAACTCAGAAATCGAACCTGACCTCTAACCCTAATGACAGCTTGATTAGACAGTACTGCGGGTGTGCAATGCAGTTTATTATCACCGCTGATCTAATCTACTAAATTCTGGTCAATCATTTCCTTGATTTATATACAATCTTATGATCATATACGGAAATAAGGACCCCTGCTGTGTGAGACGTAAGACTATATTCATTATAGACCAATCAGCGAAGGCCAAGTTTCTGTCGATCCCTGGCTTCATTTGCATCTACTTGTTCTAACACTGTGCAGTATTTAGGCATAATCAACGTTGATCGATGGATTAAACAACCAGATTTGTACGGATGTTAGTACATACGCTCATCGTATTCAGTACATATGAAATTCTTATGAAAATCATCTAGTTTTATGTATTGGCTGATACCTGAACTGATGGCCTATTGCTGTGTAATGAAACTTTAGCTTAATAGAAGACTCACGGTTTAACCACTGAGCCAGGGACACTGATCCCTTATTAAAGATGTTTTAAAAAAAAATAGATGAAAAAATAATTTTTTTTTTAAATATTTTATTTAGTTTAATTTGATTGGTTGACCTGATCTAATGTTGACCTGAAAATTTGTCTACCCAACCTGGATTTTCAGGTTGAGTCAGATCAGGTTACAGGTTGACCTGACTTGATTCAGAACTCTAATCATTTCTTTCATATATATTTTACCAAATATTTACTTTTTGTATGTAACATATGAAAAAAAAAATGCAACCTATTTACTAAATCAGAAAAGTTAGCAAATATCACCTTACATGATAAAAAATGTAATTGGTCTACCATACTCTTTTCCTATTCCTTCTTCCTTTATTTCTTCCTTTAGGTATGATAAAAATTGGTCAAATTTTTTGACAGATGGTAGCCAAGCCTTCTTCTTTGGATGGTTAAGTTTTCTTTTCTTTTGAATGGATTATTAGTCTAAAATTATGCAAGGTTGACTTTGATTTAATTTATTCATAAATTAGATAAAAGTTTTTGTATTTTCATTTCTTATATTTTATTGTTTACACTCTTATCTTAATAAAAACACTTCAAAAAAAAAAACTATTTGATGTAACTTATTATTACTGAATTATTCTAATATTTTAGATTATACGTTTTATTAAAAGAATAATATGTACTTAATATTTTTTTATTTTTAATAATATTGTTTTAACAGAATTGTCATTATATGAAATGATAAACTTTACCAAAGTATAGGAAACCGAGAGTATGGTTTATTATAACAAATAAAGCTCCAAAATAGTCCATTTGTCATACTAAACAAAAACTCTTATTTTCATTTATTGGACTTTTCGTGTTGGCTTTGTTAAAATAGATAATTAAATTCCCTTATATTTAGTATCTTAAGGTTCGATTCGCTTGTTCCCTTTCTACTATAAAACAAGCTAAATGAACATATCTTCCAAAGCACAACCACCTACTACCAGCTTACCCAATATTATCTCAGCCGCTCACAAACGTTTTAAGCCTATAGAGACATGTGACAACTGTAAACAACGTAAAGTAAGATGTGATAAAGAAAGACCTACGTGTGGTACTTGTCGCAAGTCCGGAAGAGAATGTACTTATGATTTTTCTGCATCCTCTAAGCGTGGTCGACCAAAAACTGATGTTGAAATATTGCAAGAACAGATTGAAGACATTCAATCTGTGCAATATCAACAGTTAGACCAAATGGAATCACTCTTGGAAATGGCTGTTATGAAAAACGGTGATGCAGCTATCATACCTTCGAATGCGGGTGATAATATTGATATGAATTTTGCTATACAAAATAGTGCGGGACAAGATGGAAATTTTATTAATAGTGGAGGAATTTACGTAAGATTTATTCTTTGATTTTACAATTTTATAAGTTTCAATTAATTCTAAGGATTAAAATTTTCAATTCCAAAGAATTGGGAAAATTTTTTTCAAATAGATAGAGAATCAAGTCCTCCACCTAGCCTAAATCAAAATTTGTCTCAAGAGACATTACAATTCTCTACTCAATTAGCCGCTTCACTCCCTAAGCTTAAACAACAAGAGGTTCGTATTTTTAAATCAGTTATTAATTACATTTGGAATTCATTATAATTTTGTAATATTCTTGATTACTAGTCGGTTCCAGTTACAGATTCGATGTCATATATCGCGGGTTTTGCCCAAGATCCCGTCGATCAACTTGCAGATCAATTGGACAATAGCTTGAAAATATTTGAGTCTACCCGATATGTCGGTACTGGGTCTCTATTAATGTTAAGTGATGGCGGTGAAGAACAAATTATTCCTCAACTTCCAGATGATTTGTCTTCCGTTGAGCCATATTTAAAAGTATTACCAAATCCCGAAAATGTAGAGAGTTTGATCGATATATATTATAAGGTAAGGATAGCATGGGTTAATTGCATTAGATTTGTATTGAAACTTCATGATATTTATACTTAATGTATTTGTTTATTATTATTTTCTTAGAGAGTATATCGTCATTTTCCTCATCTGAAGAAAAGGGTGGTTCTCGACTGCATTAAAGATTTATCGAGACCACAACACTTCCTTTTGTTAAATAGCATGTTTTTCGCAGCTTCTCCTTTTCATTCGGATGTAAATATGCAGGATGGCCGCATATATCATCAGGTATGTAATTCACGTATTTTGATTAAGTGACAACCATACTTTTTTTTAATTACTTCAATCAAACTAATAAATCATGTTATAAATGTTTGATTCTATTATAGAGAGCAATAGGTAATAATTTATTTTAATAATATGTATATGTTTTCTTTAATTCTAATAAAAATCTTTGTAAAAATTGATAACAGCGCTTTTGCAAAATCATTGCCTTCAAACTCCTCATGTATTAACTGTTATTAGTTTATTTATACTTGGCCTTCATACCAGAAAGGTACGCAATATTTAATTGTATAAAAATTTTATATATTTACATATTCTTATTTTTATTTCTCTCAAAAGATGGGATCTGCATGGATCTTTCATGGTATGGCTTCAAAAATGACATTTGAATTAGGGCTACATCGTAAAATCAAAAATCAACAAATTAAAATGAACGACGATGTTAAGGAAATGAGAGATATGGCTTTTTGGGGATGTTTTGTTGCTGAAACGTAAATATTAATTTTAATTTTTTATTATTATAATTATAAAATTGGTGATATATATATATATGTATATATATGTTTTATTACTTTTAGTTGGGTTTCAGCATGTTATGGTCGTCCTAGCGCTATTGATGAAGCAACTTGCGACGTTGATCTTCTCTCAATACCGTCTAATCCTGATTCAGATGATGATACTCGGCTACATATTGCATGGATTCTTCATATTAATTTATTTCGTATTTTCGCTCAAGTAAATACAACTTTTTTTTCACATTAATAAATTCTTATTTTTACAAGAATATTGACGTTTAGAATGATAATTTCTTTAGGTGCGCAAATATTTATATGGACGTGCTAAAATAGCCGGTAGTCGTCGTGAAGAAAATCAATTTAGATTTTTAGATGCTGCGTTGGGTAGATGGTTTTATACTCTACCTCATTGGCTGAAGTTCGAAGAAATGGCTCGAGATGTACAAGGAAGTTTGTTGGGAACAATTGGAGGTATATCCTAATGCATTACTCTTTTTTATTTATTTTATTTTTATTAAAAATTTTCTCCTTTTTATTAAATAGGAGAAATGCACACATTATTCTGGACGGTACTTATTCTTCTCCATAGTAGAAATTTAACTATGTTTACAGTAAATCCAAACACCATCACGCCAAATTCTTTTGATGACGCATCTCGTGTATCATCTCAAACCATTTGTATTCATGCAGCTACCATACTACTACATTGGCTTGATGTGCTTATGAATTCTATGCCAAGTTTTTATGAGCAATCTTGTACAGCATTATTTTCTATTGCACCTGCCATACGCGTTTTAGCTTGGACAGCTCAAAGAGGAGATACTAAAGCCGAAAGTATGGTAGAGAGACTAAAAGAAATTAAAAAGAACGTTAGAGATATTGCAAGGAAAAGGCAACAAGGAGGAGAGGGTAGATTGGATGGAGAAGTAAGGTTGCAAGAATGGTTAGATAAAGCCAAAGCAGATGAAGCTAAAAATACACAAGCAAGAGCAGGAGAATATATAATGCTTGACCCAGATCAATATAGGAAAGAATTTTCGTATATTGCAAATAAAGGCAATCCTAATAATCGTATACGTAATAACGACAATAAGTCAACGTTATGGCCTAATGATAAGGACAATTTTAATTTTACCTTTACTGTGGACACTTTTAGTAATAATGAATTTCGTGATAGATCTTCACAACCTTTATCATCACCGAATGATTCATCATTTGTAAGCCATCAATATCAACAACAACCTTCTAATCTCTTGTTCACTACTCTTTCCCCACCAAATGCTTCTGCTTCTACATCACCAAATCCTGATCGTACATCATTTCATTCTTCTCATGCGCCAATTTTTGGCGGAACGAATATTATTTATAAGAATGAAATTATGAATAATAATATGTCTCAACAGCAACAACAACAACGGATCAATACTTCAGATTTATGGACATCTCAAGATAATGGTTCAGCTGAATTGATAAATACTTTTAATGAAAACATCGATGCAAAATTAGTTAACAATTATAATGATAATAATAATAATATACTTAATAATGGAGAATCAGTTTCCTGGGGTTAAAGGAGAAAGGAAGAATAAATTGGATGTATCATTTTATTATTTGAAAACTGATGAAAGTATTTTCGCAAATCATTAATTTATTATATATATTTATATTTTATATTTTTTTATTGAATATTTGTAAGTTGTCGATTAAATATTATTTAACTAAATTGAATATACAAAACGATTAATTCAATGTTAAATCTTTGATATTTGTAATATGTAGATTTTAATTTCTGTATATACTGTACATGTATATCTTCATTCGATAATAATGATTCATGCTAATTGTCAATAATAATAAAGTCATGTAAATGTGATTTGTCTATTTATTGTCTAATTTACATCTATTTCTCTTTTTTTTAAAAAAAAAATTAATAATTAATTATTATGTATAATTATTTAATCATATTTAATTACTTAATAACAATAATTAAGCATCATTATTAGTACTCCACTCTCTAACTTGTTCAAAAACCCAGAAATTTAAACTTCCTAATGGAACTACAACCCATAATCTCGCAGTCATTCCTACGAACAAACCCTTTATACCTTCAGTCTTTAAAATACTTGTGGCAATATTTAACCATCTTAATTCTCCTCGACGAGATTCACGTGCAATTTGAATTTTTGTTTTTACAACATCGAAAGGAGCAGAAGTAAATGTTGCAGTAGTTCCGGCCACAACACCTGACGTCACAGAAAATAAAAAGTAAGAAGAAGGCAAGAATGAAAGATGATGTTTATTTCGTTGTAAATGCTCCAATGTATAGGTATAAGTGAAAAAATATGCTGGAAAGAATGATAATGTATTAAGGAGTCCTGCGGTCCAGCCGCGATAAAGAAATTTATAGAGGGGTATATCTTTTGGTTTAAGACGACTTATAAAATTTGTTAAGATAGATGATTTATTAACATCTGAAGGAACCTTTTGAACATCATGTCGAGTGCTAACAACAAAAATAGGTCGTTTTGTTATTGTTGAAGTAGAAATTTGCCTTTTACTTTTGGATAGAGCCGGAACATTATTATTCGTGTTGGTACCTTTTGAAGATGACGAAGGTGATCTTGAAACTTGAAGTTGTTGGGAAATAACATCAAAAGGTACAATAAAGCTAGAAGTTGTTATAGCGCTTAAAGTCCCTAAAAATGCATTTGTTGTAGTTTGACTACAACCTTCTAACCAAGAAAGTCCAATTCCTTTCCCTCGTCCTCTATAAACTCTGTCTCTTAATGCATCATAAGTAGAGAAATGAACTAAACGTCCACCAATACTGCCTAATGCATGAACTCCAACACCTTTATATAAACCACGAGCTCCTTCTGTTTTCACTCTTTCAGAAAAAACTTTAAAAAATGAAGTTGAAGAACTCGTACCAATATTCGATTGTTGGATGGTTTTAACAGTTCGTATAGGATAAAAGATATAGATTGGTAATAGATTTATAATGAATCCATAGAAGTAATATTGTTTGAAATTTATTTTTTGATCGAGACTCAGTGGTCGGTTATTCATCTCGTCAAAAAAGATGAAAGGTCTTTTTATTCGTTACTTTTAAACAATTTTTCAACCGCTGGAAATAATCCTCTCCAAAAATGGTAATAAATAAAGTAGATGCTTAGTATTTTTTTTCATATGAATTTGTGTAGCCTTCTTAACATGATATATTTATTTGTATTAATAATAATATCACCTGCCGGTAGTCTGTGAAGTCATAATGATAGTATGTCTTCTATATGATGGATTTATAGTAGAAATTTTAGATTTTACTTAAAATACATTTAATAAATTTTATTAAATTATATAATTTATAAATTAAATTAATATTAAAATATTTATTAAAGCTTTAATATCTTTTATATATAATCTAAATATATATATCTCTCTTTAATTTAATTAGGTTAAAGAATTATAATAGTTTAGAATAGTTATGAAGTCTATCAGTTAGGATTATACTGTATATCTGCATTTTGTATTGGTTAAATTAAGATCTTATTTAACCGATCTAACTAATATAGCATTGGGAATTACTAATCACAAAAATCAAAATAATGATTAACATTGTCTTTTTAGATTTATTGTTTGATAGTTTTTCCAAAGGGTTTATATATTTACAAAAATATTTTTAAGTGATTATAAAGTTTCAGATATCTATCATAATATTAATATTAAATTTTATTTCTTTCAATAGTAAAAACTAATAAGATTAAATTAGTTTTATAATAAAAGTTTTTATAATTTCAATATATAATAATATTATTATAAATTATGTTAATAATTCTGATCAAAATTATAAATGCATATTATACTATATAATTTGATGTTTATACCACATAATTCTAGATACTTTACTATAAATATGATCAAACTATAAAATATATTACAATTTTATATTACCTAAACTTAAAAATTATTTATTTTAAAAACTTTAAACTTCTCATTAACTTCATTTTCTTTATATTACTCTATTTCATCTTCTTTATTTTACTTTTTTTACATCATTCTATCTTATTTTCTTCAAATCACTTTTTTTTTTAATAAAATTATTAATATTAATTAAATATCATTAAATATTACCTTTTTTTTCTTAATAAACTTTTAATACTTTCTTTTTTAACTTTTATTCATTTTTGCAGCTATTAATATACTTTCTTTAATTATTATCTAATGTTGCTTGTCTAAACTCATTTTGGATTTGGCAAAACGGTAAAACCTTTAGTTTCGCTAAATTTTTATTAAGTGTTTGATATAGTTTCGCCATTTTTATAAGCTTTGATATAGTTTTACCTTTTTCCAAATTTCGCAGATTTTTTAATAAGGTTTTAATATAATTAAACTAAGTTTTACTTTTACCATTTAGACGTCTGTCTAGCTCTTAATTTCGTCCAGCAACCTTATTATTATCTCTCTTTTATTTTTTATTTATTATCTTTCTATTAATTAACTATTATCACTTTTTATTTATATTTCATCTAATTTTCAATTTTCAATTTTTATTTTTTTATTATTATCTCTTCTTTACACTAGTCAAAATCATTTCTTTCAGCGCTAATACCTTTTGGTAAACATTCAGCTGATTCGGTTATGTGATTTGGCAAAATTCGGCTTAAGTTACAAAAATCAATAGTAATTTGTTACATCACACATAATTTAACATTATTTCAGCACTAATATCTTTTGGTAAACATTCAGCTGATTCGATCATGTGGTTCAGAAAAAATTCAGCTTAAGTTACAAAAATCAATAGTAATTTGTTATATAATATATAATTTAGCATTATTTTGACATTAAGACCTTTCAGTTATAATATTCAGCAAAATTTCAGTTAGACTCAAGATTTGGCAACAAATTGACTATATCTCACTGGTCGAAATCTGCTGAGCTGATTTTTGCGAAAATTATAAAACATTCCAAGAGCAATCATCCCCAAAAGAACGATATAATCGTCCCAAAAGAGACGATAAAAATCGTCTCAGAATGATACATTCGTCCCAAAAAGAGACGATAGAAATCATCTCAAAAGGAACGAACAATCGTCCCAAAGAGATGATAGAAATTGTCTCAAAAGGAACAAAATATCATTCCCAAAGAGATGATAGAAATCGTTTCGGAAGGAATGAAATATCATTCTTAAAGAGACGATAGAAATCATCTCAAAAAGAACGAAATATCGTTCCCAAAGAGATGATAATTCATCGTTCCGAAAGAATGATTTTTTTCATTGTTCTTAAGGAAAGATACATCATCGTTCCGAAAGAATGATGATTTTTTATCATTCTATTAGAACGATACATTATCATTCCGAAAGAACGATTTTTTTCATCGTTTTATTGGAACGATACATCATCGTTCTTTCAGAACGATTTTTTCATCATTATTAAGGAACGATACATTATCGTTTCGAAAGAATGATTTTTTTCATTGTTCTTAAGAAACAATACATCATCGTTCTGAAAGAACAATTTTTTTCATCATTTTATTGGAACAATACATCATCGTTCTGAAAGAATGATTTTCTATATCATTCTTAAGGAACGATCAAATTATTGTTCCAATAGAATGATTTTCTATATCATTTTAAGGAATGATCAAATTATCATTCCTTTTGAATGATTTTTTATATCGTTCTTAAGTAATGATCGAATTATCATTCTTTTTGAACGATTTTATCATCGTTCAGTTAATTTTACAATCGGATGATGCAAAATCATCCATTTGTAGCATTTATGATAAATAGTCTAAATTTCGGATTAATTGAAATTTTAGTTTAGTTTACAGTATAAAACTGATTAACTTTCGGAATATTCTGAAAAAATTTATTTCTTTTCTTTCTTTTTTTTTCAGAAATTTAACCTTTTCCTTTTTTTTTTCTTGTTTTTTTAGGAAATTCTTATTTTGAAATTAAGGTAAGCGAATCGGAAGTGACTTTTGTGGCATTTTTTTTTCTTCATTTTTGTTTTTTAGGAAATTCTTATTTTGGGAATTAAGGTAAGCAAATTGGAAGTAACTTTTTAACTCTTTTTTTAGGAAATTTCTCTTTTCAAAACTAAGGTAAACCTTTTAGAAGATACTTTTAGATGGTTTTTAACCTTTTTTTCTTTATTTTTTCTTTACTTTCTTTAGGAATACATTAAGGTAAACCTTTCAAAAGTGGTATTTTGGTGGTTTTCTAACTGATTTCTTTATTTTTTCTTTATTTTTTTTAGAAATACATTAAGGTAAGCCTTTCAGAGGTGGTATTTCAGTAGTTTTCTAACTGATTTCTTTATTTTTTCTTATCTTTAAATATCAAATGTATTTTTTTTGAATAAAATATAATATATTATATATTCTTTTTGAGTAATTTATTATGTAATAATAAAACTAAAATATAAATCATAAATAAACAAAAAATGAGTTTTATTAGTTTCGATTTTATAAATAGTTGCTTAATTATTTTTGCTGATTGTTGACTGATTTTAAGCTGATCTATGCCGAATTTTGACCAATTTTTAACATAAATGCTGATTGATAGCCAATTTTCTATTTATTCAAAGTGCTGATTTTTTGGTAATGATCAGCAGAATTATACTATAATTTGGCCAACTTTCAGCACTTTAAAAAAGTGACAAAATGGATTATTTCGATTAGTATTGTAAAAATTAAAAAAATTATATTTGATTCGATTCGATTCGATCAAATTCAAATTGATTCAAATTGATTCGATCAAATATTTGAGTTTAATTCAATTTGATTTGATTTGGTTTAAAAAAATCAAATCAAATTCAAATTGCTTAAATATTTGATTCAATTCAATTTTGAGGAACCCTAAATAATACAATCTCTTCTAATCCTAATAGCAACACGTTCAATAGCATAAAAGCAGGTGGATCAATGTATGCTAATAACAATAATGATTTTAAAACTTTCATCAATTCACAATTCATGAATTTAGAAGAGAATTTGAGTAGCATCATATTAACGTTGGCCTTTACTATTAAACGTATTGAATCTATCGAACAATCACTCAATTTTAAAGTCATTATCCTAATTGAAGCTGATACACATAATATGAACGCAGATGAAATGGTCAATGATATATTGAATCAATAATTGACTCCTCTGCTTCCACCATTAACAAAATAACAAAAAGTCATTGACAGATTGTGCAGTCTTAATGAAATGCATCAATCCAGACTCAAGTCCTTTACTGCAACCATTTATACATTAGCTCAATCTTGTAGTACATTCCAAAGCATTTTGATTAAAAATAATTTGCTTCCTTAAGAACACGCGAACAATATTTTTCTCTTGGTATAGCTTTTAATGATAACGTCAAGAGTTACAGTAATGATCTCTCAAAATTTTAATTTGATCATGAGTTCTGTCCTTACTAATGATAATACACAAAATACATCAATTATTAATATTACACCTCTAAATCATATTACTTCTTCTTTTCTTTCTTTTGCCTCTCATAACGTCTGCAGTTTCACTAATATCGCTAAACAACATATACCTATTGAACACTATCTTTCCTTAAATGTCGATGCCATTGGCTTACAAGAAACCAATTTTCTTCAACAACACATTCGACCCTTTAATAGTGAGCACACATTTAATTTCGTGGGTTTTTTCAGCTCTAACCTAACTTCTAATAAAACAGTGTTAGTAATAATACTCCAAACAATTACTGTAACAATTTTTATTTGTGATTTACAAATTACTAGTGATCTACTAGTTTGTGATAGTCTATTTAGATATACAATATTATATCAATTACATTTGTAATTTGTGAATCTGATGATCGCTAATCTTAAATTTCTTACATTTCTATAATTTCTATAATATCTATAATTTCTAT